GGGGGAGCGGGCAGCCGCGGGGAATACTGGTGTTGGAGAGAAGAATTGAAAGAAACTAGTGGGTGGCGAGAGGCAGGAACGGAGACGCTCTGCTGAGAGAGGAGTAAAAGCAGGAAAGCAGAGACAAACTACGAGAAGAAACAAAGTGATAAAGAAAAGGGGAAGAGAGGAGATAAAGTGATTCCTCCGAGGAAGAAGAAAGCGAAGGAGAGGGAATACGGAAGGACTCCACTGATGAGAGAGAGGAGTTGAAAGACCCCCCCCGAGAGACACCAGAGACTGACTCTCAAACTCTCTCTCTCTTTGTCACACCACAAGGATTTGATGCCCCTCAGCCTGTTCACTTCTGTGTGTTCATGTTTCCCACAGGTTTCTCTTCCCCCAACCCCCCAGCTGCAGCCCAGGAGGTCAGACCTGCCACTGATGGTAATACCAGCAGCAGCTCCTCCTGCAAGAAGAGAAAGTTAAATAACAACAGCAACAGCAATTCTGAAAGAGAAGAATTTGATTCCATTTCTTCCTGCGCCTCTTCTCCTTCCAAAAACACCTCCTCATCATCTTCCTCCATCATCACCACCTCCTCGTGCTCCTCCTCAGGGGTTGCCTCCTCCAACCATCACCTCCAGAAGAAGCTGCGCTTTGAGGACTCCGTGGATTTTATTGGACTCGATGTGAAGATGGCTGAAGAGTCTTCTTCCTCCTCCTCTCCTGCTGCCTCTTCTCAACAGCAGCACCAACAACAGCTCAAAAATAAAAGCCTTTTAATTTCGTCAGTGGCTGTGGGGCACCATGCAAATGGCCTGACCAAAGCTGCCTCCTCTACTGTTTCCAGTTTCGCCAACAGTAAACCTGGCTCTGCTAAGAAATTAGTGATCAAGAACTTTAAAGGTAACAGGCCATAATTTGTCACAACCTATGGGGAGCTGACACTCAACTTTGTGTTTTGTTTTCAACATGAAAACCGGTTGGCTTTCAAATAGCTCCAAGTTTTACAGGAAATGCTTTTCTGTGGTGAATGTTTCTATACTTATGTAAAGGGGGAATAATGTTTTACAATGCATACTTGCCCAGTCATGTACATATCTTGAGCTACACTTTGCTGCTTGGCGTTATTTTTCAGACTCCTTTCACTCTGTCTGTTGAGAAGGCCTTAACTTGTATGTTAGATGAAAGGCTTTACTATGTAAGTGTGTAAATTGCCTTTCGTCACACTTTAAACGTTTGATACCTCTTTTCTAGTAATCCTGATTCAGGGCTTAGTATATATTTTAGCCCAGTTTATGGTAAGTCTTTGCACAGAATGCGTTTTTTAAATTGGGCTTGAATCTCTATGTCTTGTGTCTATCCATGTTGTCTGTTTATAGGTTAATCTGCCTGTGCTTAGTTTTAAACGTTGAAACTAAGGTGATTATCAGGCTATTATGGCGGATTTCCTTTCTGGTTTCCCCACTTGCCTTTAAAGTAGGTAGTTCAGATTTTTGCTGAGTGTTTTCCTTGCGATATCCTTGCTGTAATTTTTATTATTTAACCCTTTAATGTCTTTTCTCTGTCTTAATATACTCTCACTTTACAAGCTTACATTATTTTATAAATTCTCTCAAAAGATGTGTTTGAGATTCTTGAGTATTCTTATTAGAGACCAACTGAAGCAGAGAAATGAAACTTTTCTGCTGTGATACTGCTTCATTTTGTAGTAAACAAAAATATAAATAGGTGTAGGCAGAAAGCTTAGCTAAAATTCTGTCTTTTTTTTTTTCCCTATAAAGATGGGGAAATCTTGGGCTTTTCTTATTTCCTGCCTCTTGCTGTCTGCTAAAATAGTCTGATATCTTGCTTTTTTGGGTTGTTTTTCTTTTTCCCCATGTGTTTGGTGTTGGGGGGGTAAAGATATTACTGACATTAAAATTAATTTCTAAATATACAGTTGATACAAATGGTCTCTAGAGATACCGCAGAAGGTAAGGATTAGGATTATCTTAGCCACTGTAATGTTTTACAGCAATTCGTGATCACAGTGTGACTGCTTGCTTTAAGGACCTCCTAATTCTCAAAAATGTTCTCTGCCCATCACGTCGTCATCATTTAATTTGGCTGATTATTTTAAAATTTATACTTACGATGCATGATAGCGAGAAATAAATGCCACTCTTCTGTTGCTTGTACACTGTTATCTTTAAGGGAAGTCAACTTTTCATGTTCAAAATATTTGTTAAATGTCATGGATTGCATGGTGCTGTGATCATCATTGCTTATGAATTGGTATTTGAATCACTTGCCTAAAAAGGATGTCTCAAGAGTCTGCCAGCTTTGCTTTTTATTTACTCTCAAATGCTAAACTGAATAATAAGATTATTGTCTTTATCTTAGTGGGATAGCGATAACATCCTTTACAACTTAAATAACTTCCTGAAATCAAAAATCTTGGTATTTACTGCTGAGTAGCATACTCATTAGTTGCTAGTGAAAATAGGCAAGTCTCACTTGTAGTTAGCTGTATCGTAAGAATCTAGAGAGACAACTAACTACAAGTGTGACTTGCCTATTTTCAGAAATGCTTGGGAGGACAAAAAAAATTATCTCTCTCTTTGTTATTTCTAGAGAAATCATAAAGCTTTACAATTTTTTTTTTTACCTTTAGGTATGTAAAAGTCAATTTTAATAGAGTATAAACTCTGGGCCAGTTTCACCTGGGAAAACATGTTGGTGGCATGGATGTGCATGTGACTTCCTCCCTAAATTTTCTCCTCCTTCCTTCTCCATTTGGGAACATGCTTATTAGAACAAAAACGGTCATCTTAGCTAGTTATGAGAACACACAGAAATTTAAAATAATCCTGGTGTTCTGAGGATGTGACTTGGGGAATCTCTCTTAGCCTGTTGTAAATGCTTTAGTCTTGTTGAAGATGCTGCATGGCAGGGGCATCTCTAGAAAAGAGGCTGAAAAAAATAATGGTAAGAGTCAAATCTGCAAAGCTTGAGCTATTTGAACATCAAAAGAGGGCTAAACTTTAACGAATATCCACTGGCCAAAGCCAAGAGAGACATAAATGGATTACTTTAAAATAGGAAGGTTTTCCTTGCAACCGTAATGCCTGTATTATAATTACAGTATTTCCGTGCATGTTTCTTGAGGGTTTCTTTCCAACTGTTAATACAGAGTAGAATTAATGAGGAGTAAATTTAAAAAATAAGCTATATACAACTCTGTATCTTTTAATCCATCATTTTCGGCTTTTATGTTCACTTTCTTTTAGCTGCGCTGTCCTGGTAGTGAAGAAGAGTGTAACGAAGATGTAGATCATTCTTGCTGGTTTTTAGCCTTTTATCCCATCTTGAGCTGCTCAGACACAGGATTGTGATTTTTATAAATCACACGTACTGTTTGGGCTACAGATGTGTGATGTGTATGTGAAGAGTAATGCTGAATTTTTACAATGTGTTACTATTTCAAATGTAAATAAGATACTGCTTTTACGCTAATGCTTTCTTTTCATGTAAGTATAAATGAAAATCTAGAGCATCAGCCCATACCTCTTTCCTCTCAAAGCTACATTTTTCATTTCTGTAGAAGGCAAAATGTTCTGCTTTTTCTAAATACTTTCTCAAATCTTATATAATTTCTTTTTAAGATAAACCCAAATTGCCTGAAAACTACACAGATGAAACCTGGCAAAAACTGAAAGAAGCTGTAGAAGCTATCCAGAACAGTACTTCAATTAAGTACAATTTAGAGGAGCTCTATCAGGTAAGTGCTTTAAGTAAAAGCAATAGGGTAGGGTTTTTTGTTTTGTTGTTGGATTTTTTTGCTTAAAACACTTTTGATACAGTGGTAAGAATATGAAATTTTGCTTGATAGCTGCTTTTGTCATTGAAAAGCTTTTCATCGAATAGTTTCTCAAATTTTAAAATCATCAGTAAAAATTTCACAAGACCTAAGATTAAACTCGGAAATTTTTTTACTTGCCACAACATAATCCAAGGTATGGTTTCCCTTGCAACAGTTGACAAGAATTAAATAAGGCAAGGAGCTGTATTCCCTTTACTGTTTTGGGGTTTATGGTGTGTAGCTGCTAAAGGAGAAATGTGAAATCCTAAAACGTTGGTGTTTAGGTAAGAAAAAGACGATTTATATTAAAATACTATCCTTTTTTTGAAGACAGTATCTGTTCATGATTGAGGATCATAAATAATTTAAAAACTGAAACTTTTTATTTGACTTCTTAAAAGTAAATAGAATACCATTTTTCTTCATGAATTGTGTTATTTTGGTTTGACTGTAATTTTTTATCATTCAGCATCCTGTCTATTCTAACAACTGAGAATCAAAATTTATTCCCAGCAACAGCTCTGATTGTTTTGCCCTAAGTGTTTTAGGAAGCGATCAGGCTTGAACTGCATTTCCTAACTTTTTGTATAAGCTCGACTTCTGCTTTTTCAGCTGAATGTGTTAGGGAGACTTCTCCCCCTCCTCACCTTTTCCCTACTGACATTGTGGTACTTGCCGTTTTAGCAGCCTAGCAACAGTACTGCCTTAGCTAGGTATTAAGAAGCACTTACACTTTTTACTCTACTTTTAAAGCCTTTATTACCTGGTTAGTTGCTTGATTCGTTCCTCTGTGTGTATATAGCCTTCTCTCCGTCTGTTTTTGGTGTCTCTTCTTCCCCTGCCCTCCCCTTTTCAAGAAAAGCTGCATTTGGATGTGACTGATTTCTGTGAAAAGTTGGGGGGAAAAATCCTGTTTGCACAAGGTTTGGGGACAGATTTAGGGAAGGATAGATTGCCATTCCTCGTGGAACCAAGAACCTTACGGGCCAAGTTCCTCAGTCCAGTGCGTTTTTAAGCTCATTATAATCTTTTATAATGTTCAATTAATCTAAAAATAGCTTTTTTTAACAGTTTGTCAGGATAATATATAGTATTGTTAAACTAACAATACTATTGTTACTTTAGTAAAACTTGGTGAAACTAATAACAAATTACAATCCACTGTATTGGCTGGTATTGTAAATTACTTACTCTAGACTGAACAACAGAGCAAGTAACTTAATTAAATACTTGAAGGCTATCCAAAATTGTTTAAAAATACAAAGTTCTATTGAAAGCCCTGCTTCTGCTTCACAGTTATCACTTAAATTTCTGCTCACTTTTAGCACAGGCTTAATTTAATGTTGCTTGTGCTCAGAAAACCAAAAATACGCTTTTTTCTTTTAAATCTCAGTTTTAACATTATAATAACTTAGATACTTTTCAATGAAATAGAGTGCAATCAAGTATGAAATTTTTCTTTTTTTTTATAACTCTAAAAATACATGTCTTGATTTAAAAATAGTAATAGGAATCACTAGTGTTTTTAAATGCTAACTAAACTAATGTCATTTCTGAACAGCTGCTTGGTAAATGGATCTGATGCCAAATATGCCTTGGCAGACACCATTATCCAAGCATAAAGGGGAATTGCAAAAGAGTCTGCAAAAGTTCTGCTGCATGCCTCAAAATATGATACTTCTTTTTTTAATGGAGTTAAACTTCTTGAGTTCTGTTTAACTCTTGTCTGTGTTGGAAAATCCGACTGAGCAAGGATTTCGAGGCTTTATTTCTTTGTGGGACACTAGCTTCGTACTTGCTTTGTTCCTCCCCAGCAAGAAAAATGATACACATCTTTGAGTAGCTGAAGTGCTACAGAATTGAAAGCTTCTTTATTAGAATATTTTTTCCTTAGGTTAGTACCAGAAAATAGAGACTAGATCTTTGGTACCAGATTTTAAGTACTTCTGGAAAGTCCTGATTTTCTGTCATCAGAGCTGTGTTCAGTTCTTTTTCTTACTTTTCCCCAGCATACAAACCCAGTGTGGATGCTGCAATTAAAAAAAAACGCCACCAACATAATATATGTTACACAAAGGAAGTATGACACTTTGCCTTCGGATGTTCTGACCATCTTCAGGGCACAGATTCCCTGATCAGAAAGCTTTATTCCACTAATTCAGAACAAGATAATTTTGTGAACTAGAGCCCCTAAAGTTTTTGGGAATTTTTGATACATTACAATTATTGTTGTGTAACACCAGTAATTAGATTTGCAAAGCATAATACTGCAGTAGTGGTGTTATGCTCCACAGAGCAAATCTTAATAAAAGATTTTGTATTTGTGTGCTTAGAAAGTTTAATCTCTTAAAAAAAAAAAAAAAAAAAAAAAAAAAACAATTGAGCAGAATTCACAAATTAAAATTAAAACATTTCTATGGATGTTATCAATGAAGATGCAGAAGTTTTGCACTTAATGTTCAAACACTCAATACTAGTAGATGTGTTTAACATTTTGGAATTTCTGATACACAAATGCAAAAGCACAGCTTTATATGAACACTACATAAAAGTAAGTGTATATTAATATATGTTGACTTATTTCACTAAGAGTTAATGGTATGCGTTTGTCCATCTACAGTGCAGAGGCTAATTCTTTTAAGGATTTGGAGCAGCATGGTTAAATAGTACTTGTTTTGGTAGACAGCAGTTATGAAAATCTTGGTAGTTGAGATGGATGAACTGACCAGAAGTACAGCAAAATGGCCACTGGTGTCCTAGGCTGGTAGGTAGAAGTGAGACTAACTGTGGTTGTGCAGGTGACTAGCAAGTTCTATCTAAAACATTCATCTTTCCAGCTCTCAGTTGCCTTCTCTAAAGTAAGTGGGAGAAAAGAAAAAACCCATTTATTGCACTTGCTGCGGGCTCTTCAAGCTTAGTGTTTTCCATCCCTTTTTTCTTCTGAAATCAAAGTAGTGGTTATTTCCTGTTTTGCTGCTGTTTCATTTAGAGCCTGACCAGGCGGGTACAATAGCAGAATAGAGTTGAGCAGTGTCCATAACCTAGCCTGAACAGTGAACTGTAGAGTATGTTTTCCTATCACATCATTGTATTTGTTTGGCGTTTCTTAAGTGTTAAGTCTGAGAGTTGGATTTGTTGCTATTTCCAAATATTAAGATATGTACAGTTCCGTGATAATTCTGGCTTTCCTAATAATCATAATTCAGACCTAGTTTAGTCTTAATTGGCACACTCACTCTCTTGCTATAATTGTTTGTTTCTGACAGTAAGCTTATGCAGCTTTGGTTTTCTTTTTTTGTTATTGTTGTGGGAGATAGTTTTGTTGTGGGGTTTTGGTTTTTGTGGTGGGGTTTGTTGTTTTTTTTTGTTAACTCCTCTATGTCCTAGAGCCAGTATTAGCTGTAGTGCACTTGCTCTAGAGAGTTGTTTACTGTTGATACTGAGCATGATCACTGTTGATATCCTAGGATAAACTCAGGAACTCCTTGTTTAGCTGTTTTGATTGTTGCTGTGCTTTTAGTGGTGGCTCCTTACTGTTTGCTGGTGGCTTCTATTTGGACTGTTGGGAAATATTCTGGGGGACTTTGGTGTAATGGAGTAGATCTGCTCTGTATACTTCTGAACTACGCTGTCCCTGCATGGTTGCCTGCAGTTGCTGGGGAACAAACTTGATCTTCCAGTCCTTCTTTTTTTTCCTATGGGTTGGTTGTACTGGCAAGTGAAGTATTTTCCATTAAAAAAATAAATAAAATCAAGAGGCATTAGTTGAAAATCATATATACCTCTCCTCTCTAGCTTCTACAGATGTTTTACAGAATAATCACATATTGTGTCTTTCACCAATCCACAAAGAGTTAAAGTTGCTCAGTTGCTTTCCAAATCTGGGCAATTGGTATAAATTTTGGAAAAGTCTTGAGTTACGCTTATGGACTTAAGAATGCTTGTTTGCTTGATCAGTCTCCAAGACATGTCCCCATTAAATTTCTTTTCGCTTCTCGCTGTGAAGCACAGCGACAATTCTTCTAATATTTGATTATGATCTAGAAGTCTGAGATTTGTCACTGTAAACATCTGGAATGTAGTCGTATTACTAAAAATTGTTCAGGATTATAACTGAACTTATTCAGGCAAGGGGTTGATGGATGGAGATATATGTATAAAAAATATGTATATGTATGTACTTCTGGGGATGAGGGAAGCTTAATCAAGGAAAGGACTGCAAAAGGAAATAACACTAACAGTGCTTTTCTACAAATATTAGTGTGACTTGCAGAGCACAGCAGTTAATAAAATTAAGACCTTAAGTGTCTGCTTTGAAGTATGAAACCCAGCAAGCTGCTGGAATATATTAAACTAACGTCCTTGTTCTTAGAGATGCAAGTCCTGCAGTTCCTTATGAGATATCAGTACTCCAACTGAAATTAATAAACTGTACGCGGTTCAGGGCATGGCCTTTCTTTGCCTCTTATTACCACTATAGTGCCATATATAGTGCCATGTGTCTCTGGTGTTTTGCATGCAGCTGTTAACTGTGTTACAATTAAAAGCTGGTAGATTTTTGAGTGAGAAGCAGAAGAATTCCATGGTTGGTTTTGGGGTTTTTTCCCCCTTTCCTTGTAAAACCACATATAAGAATATAAACAGATTTCTTAGTATCTGTTTCTCTTTACTTCAGGCTGTTGAAAATCTCTGCTCCTACAAGATTTCTGCAAACTTGTACAAACAATTGAGACAGATCTGTGAAGACCACATTAAAGCACAAATTCACCAATTCAGAGAATATCCTTTTTTTAGCTGTTGACAAACCAAAACGTTTTTACCTGCCAGTATGTGGTGATGGATTTCTTTGACTAGTTCATGTCAGTAGGCCATGGTAATCTGAGTTCCTAGTTTTTGCATAATTGGGTCTGGTTTCATTTTTTTGTGGGACCTCAGAGAACACTACTAATTCCTTTATGTCTGTAACCATTTGAAAAGTTTGTGAGAAAATTTCATTGGTATTTATGAAACACTTTGACATCTTACAAAAGCTCATATTAGACTTAGAGCAAGGCTTAAAAAGGCTGTATTGGCTGCATCACTTCAGGCTTTTTTATATGCTGATCTTGCTATGCTCAGGTAAACAGAAAAGTCTTCCAACAAGTAGTTCTTGTTTTCTTTTTCAAAAGTGCTAGTGATCTGGCAGCATACAATGTTAGTGGTTCTGAGCATCAAAATGTTTTATTTTCAAAAGTTTTGAGTTGCATCAGATCGAGATCCTGTTAAGTGGATATAAATTAGTACCAGAACTATGCAGTGAATTGAACACAAGTTAAATTTCAAGAACAAAATTTATCTCTTAAGGTTCTCTCTTAACATGAGCTGAAATTATAGTATCTGTGTAGTGGTGGGCTCTTACATGTATTGTGGATTGTTGGGTTTTGAGGTGTGGGGATATGTATGTTTGTTCCACTCCCCAGGGATGGGGGATTAGACAAAACATGCAAAAGTATTTAGATCCTTTTTTTTAAAATGTTCAAATAATTTTGATTTTTCATTATTAACACAAGGACCCTCATTAAAAATAAAAATAAACACGTTGCAAGAAGTTAACTGATTCTTTTTGGGAGTAGGTGAGTTTGTTGTGCTCTCTGTTAAGTGTCTTTAAAAAAAATAATGTTGGATCATTTCATTGCTAACACTTCCTATTAATCATAATTTTCTTAATGATTTCTTCATGGATTCATTGGATAGTGTCCTTTTTCTAAAGAAAATAGACAAATGTTGGCAAGATCACTGCAGACAAATGGTAAGTTTTTTATCTTTTTCAAGAAAACCAGTTGCCTAGTCAGCCTATGTTTTGCTTAACTTTGTTCCTTTACAAACATACTGTGCTTCTGAAATGTTGTCTTAAATTCATGTAAGGCTGCTTCGTGAAATTCAACTGTATCTAGTTTGTTAGAAATCGAGCCTTGAAAATACTTGTCTGTAGTGTGTTTCTTGACACATTGGTCTGATCTTGGACACACACACACCCAACTGCTAACTGTTGTTTCTGTGCAAACCTTTCTTCTTTTGTACCTGTTATAAAAGGACCTATTCTTTTATACAGAAAGATGCTAAATGTTGCATTGATCATCTCACTGAGACTGGCAGAATATTTTAAACAAATCAACACTGTCTAAGAAAGCACTGCCTGAAACCTGTCAGTGGGATTTTTTTTGTTGTTGAACATAATTTGTGTTGCTCTTCAATTTCAAGAGAAAAATGATTGTGGCTTTTTTATTCCTTCTCATAACAGATTATGATTAGAAGTATCTTTTTGTTCTTGGATCGAACTTACGTACTTCAGAATTCAATGCTACCATCTATTTGGTAAGGGCACAAAGAAAAATATTGGGGGGTATATTTAAATTATCGCGCATATCTTGCTGATTTTCAGGGTTTTTTTTTTACTATAAACTTTATAGTGACCTGTAAATTACATGGTGAATGCATACATGCTTGTTGCAAAGAGAGATTTCACTTTTAATTTATTTGCCATGAATTACAGGATTCTTCTAGAATAGCTGTGGTAGCAAATTTCAGCTAGATATCAGCCTCAAATTTGCACAGTAAAAGGAAAGGGCCTGTTCAACAACTGAAGTGCGAGGCTTTGGGTTGCCCAGTTACTGGCTTTAACATGCATAGTGTTCGAAGTTCTGTAAATATTTTTGAAGCAAAAAGTTACCTAAAATAAAAGCAAGTTATTCTCTTTTGGACTTACTCTCCCACACACACACAATATTTTAATAATTAGCAAATGCTCTACAGTGCCTTTGGCACTACCTGAATTTCTTTGCCAGAGATTGAAGAAGTGGTGGGTGGAGAGCCTCGCTTTTCCTAAAAGTGTTCAGACCACAGTTCCAAATTCATGGAAGGTTTTAACTGGGATGCCCAAAGCGGAGATCCTTGTCTTTCACATCACTGAGTTTTTCTAAGCTCTGTGTAAGAATTATAGATTAGAAAGTGATGGACAAAAAAGAATATTGTCCAACAGCTGAACCATGGAATCGAGACCCAGGATGACATTATCTTTTTCTTGTGAAGGCTGCTGTTCATTCAGTTTCCATCATCCTGCCAACCAAATGAAAAATAAAGACACTGCAAAAGTTAGGGGTTATTTAGGAAAAAATACATGCTTTGGTCTTTAAAATCTGTAGCTTACTGTTGATGCTTTGTCATGGTTTATTTTAGTGTTTGAGTTTGTTCATCTTGAGTGATTTGGGGGCAGAGGAATGAGGAATTTAAAGAATGCTACTATTTATTGACCTCTCTCTGATCCAGATCAAATTTTCTTAATAGAGAATACTTGGGGTTGACTCTTACGCAATTTATTGAACAGTCTTTATTTTCTTTTTAGGGATATGGGGCTAGAATTGTTCAGAACTCATATAATCAGTGATCAGAAGGTTCAGAACAAAACTATTGATGGCATTCTTCTGCTGATTGAGAGGGAAAGAAATGGTGAGGCTATTGATAGGAGTTTACTGCGAAGCCTTCTAAGCATGCTCTCTGACTTGCAGGTTAGTAAACTTGTTTCATCTTTAAACCAATAAACAGCTCAGATTTAGTGCTCAGTAAGCTTTACCCTGGACTGCTATTGTGTTGTTTCCCTAGATTTATCAAGACTCTTTTGAACATAGATTCTTGGAAGAGACTAACCGCTTGTATGCAGCAGAGGGACAGAGGCTTATGCAGGAACGAGAGGTATTTTGAATGTTTAACAATATTTGTTACACTTAATGACGAAGCATTTGTCAAGAAGAGGAACTATTCTGCTGCCTTAGCCAGCATAAAGGGCAATAATGTGACCTTTATGTTTTATGGTACTCTGAAAAAGTAAATTCACATGCAGTTGCCCTCAGTCATGGTGCTAATGATTTCTGCTTAAAACCGGAGCTGCTGCTGCTGTCAGACCAGTTGTTTTTTTTTTTTTTTTTCCCCCTCTTGGTTTTCTTAAAACTGCAAAACTACTCTGGCATTTTCAGGTTCCAGAATATCTTCACCATGTCAACAAGCGCTTGGAAGAAGAAGCAGACAGGATAATCACTTATTTAGATCAGAGCACACAGTAAGTGCAATCTCTCTTTGCTTGGTATTGTTAGCTGTTTGGCTCTTCTGTTGAGGGCCATCTAATAGCTACAATTTATTTCAGTTATTGACTGACCATCAAATGCTTCTCACTTCCCACAATTCCTTGTTTGCAGTGAAGCACTGTCTTGGCTCACACAGCTAATATCCTTTTCTTTTAAGCCACTAATTATTTTGACATAAACATTTTTGGGCATTTGGTTGGAGAAAAATAGGCTGCTACCCCCAGTACAAACGTGTCGTTTCTTGCTGAAATGTAATTAATCAGCTGTCGTCCTACCTGAAAAAGATAGGACCTGGGATAGAGAATTCTCAAGCTAAAGGCTCTGAATATTTACATAAAAATATTTACATATTCTTTAAAGAGTCTGGGAAATTATTGACTAATGTCACTCTTCAATCTTTTCTACTTAGAGGCAGGATTTCCTAAAATACAATCAAGTGGAGGTCATGACTGGTAGGACAGGAGAAATGTTCTCCTAACATAAAGCCACAGCTGTCATGTCTGAGAGGAAATGTAGGTCACTAATATAACAAAACTCTTCGAGCAAGTGGTAGCAACTTCTTAAAGAGCAAGTACAGAGGATCTCTCTGAGAGGAAGGTGTTTTATTGCTACTGTCATACATTTTTATGTCCTTTCTCCTTCAGCTGTTAAAAACATTTAGCTTGTTTAGTGGCTTCCTTCTTTCACACCATTATTAGTGGTTAAGTCCCGATGTTGTTTTAATACCTCTTGACTCGTCAGGTGTGTTTTTTCTTCTTGGGTTGTCTCCCAAGACATGAATCTCCTCCCACAAAGCAAGAGAAGGTATATTCTTTGACAAGCTTTTGCCCAGTTTTTTCACTGATGGAATCATAGTCCAGCTGCCTAGAGGTCATGTACAACAGGCTTATTGTGTGAATTAAATCCTCAGTCAGCAAACAGAAAAAAAATTGCTTACTGGGGAGGAAAAAGGATAAATATGTGTATGATCATTTTAGGTCCTTGGCCACAGATAATTAGTGCACTCCCAGTGACAAGCGTGGTTAACATAATCTCAAAAAAAGGATTTAAAACTGTCAATAATGGAAAAAGGAAAAGTAATTCTAAACATTTTTTCTATAGGAAGCCACTAATTGCTACTGTAGAAAAGCAACTTCTAGGTGAACATTTAACAGCCATTCTTCAGAAAGGTAATCTTTCTTCTTTATAGAAATGTTTCTAATTACTGCTTCGGGGCTTTCAATTCCTGTGCTGAAAAAGAAAGTGACAGATTCAGGTGCTGGGGGAGGACACAAGTTACATCATTCTTTAACGCCCTTTGCTACTCAGTTCATGAAATAGCAGTGACCATTTTGCAAGAGGGCAAGTACCATTCTCCTTGTCAGAGGTAAGGACAAGCAATGCTGTCTTCAGATACACAGCAAACACAGCAAACTAGAATAGGGGACTCTGAGTTCAGTGTGTTAAATAGCATTTTGAAGACTCAGAGGTAAAGGAGTAGCCTTTGATTTATGGCTGTACCAGAAAGGGGAAACATTGCTTATTCACTGCTCACAAAAAGCAGTTTGTTTTAAAAATTTAGTATAATTTGAGCAATTAAATACGTTGTCTCAGTTCTTCAGTAGTCTCTGTGGAGTCAAGTGACCCTCTGTTGCTCTGAGGGATAGCCTGGAAATAGATATGGGTGCAGCAAGAGTTGAATAATAAAAGAAAATTATCAAGTCCTTACTAGCCAGATTCTGGATGAAACGGGTATGTGAGATCTTCCTGCACATCTGTCACAGACTCTGTTGAGAGGAGTATCAAGTTTGCAATATTTACCCATCTACTTTCTTAGAACCTTGCTGTAGAGCATCAGGCCTTCTCTGCCAAAAAGTTAAAAAGTGAAAGGTGAAGATATTTCTTGAAGCTACTTGCCTTCAAACATCTGTAAAATTTATTTTACAGCTGGAATTGAGATTCAGCTCTATCTTGCCAAGGAACCTTTCCTACAGATCAGTAGAGCGTAAACTTTTCAAATCTTTAGGGAATAGTAAAGCAGAAGTAAGCAACGGTATTGTGATAAATATGTTATGTAAAGTACATGTAGCCTAAGATATCCAGTGCAATAATAAGGTTTTTAAGGTTTGAGCCAGTTCAGGTAGCTGTTCTGTGTTTCACTGTTAAATTAGGTAGCTTAAAAAAAAAAACCCACAAAACAAAAAAACAGAAAAACAACCCCAAAACAACAAAAAAAAAAAACAGTAATTGCTTGATAAAAAATACTAGCTTTGAAGAGGTCTCTTACTCTCTTACTGTAATAATATGCTGTGCTTTCTTTGGATTACTTTTGGTTTTAATTTCTATTGAAATTCTCTCATTTGCAGGGTTAAACCACCTTCTTGATGAAAACCGAATTCAAGACCTGTCTCTTCTGTATCAGTTGTTCAGTCGTGTGAGAGGCGGAGTACAGGTTCTCTTGCAACACTGGATTGAGTACATAAAGGTACTGTTTCTAGAACTCTGGAAGAGATACTACTATTGTATCGATGGGTTTTATACACAGATATGAGTCATCTCTATAAACTATTGCATTTTTCTAAGAATTAAAGACAACTTGCTTATAAACATGTATTTAATGGGCAGCTTTTGAAACTGTACTAGGAAAAGTACAGTAACTGTTCTAGCCCTATCAAAGAAAATATTGAACGTTCGGTTGATTTATTGAACTCCAAATAAATTCTTGCTTATAGTTATTTGTGAGGGACAACTATATTTCTCCAATAGACACTTTGGTAATGGCTGAAAGTTTCTGTCTTCTCCCTGCTAAAATTTCTTGTCAGAATGAGTGGTAGCTTAAGTTACCAACCAGTTGAAGTTCATCACTTAAGATGTTTCATCTTATTATTCAGTGAAAATGTTGTTACAGAAAATATTGTTGTTGTGAAGGAAGGCTTTGTAATGGCATAGGAGTACTGTTAAATAAAATTGAGTTTAGTGGGAACTTTACCTGTGTAAAACCTGAGAATATAGATGTTTAAAAAGCGTGTGTTAATTTTGTCATGCTTGAGTTTATTTCGTCAGACAGAAGTTCTGAATCTGTTCACTTACTCATAGGTTGGTTTTGAATCAACATAAAAGGTCTAGGACTGATTATATAGTAAACACTTCATAATGCTATTACTTCTGCTGTGTTAGTGGAACTAATACGAATACCAGAAACAAGATGTTACAAAGATAACTTACGCTTTTAGAAGTCTTGTCATTTAAATACATTATTCGTGCTAATTGAAAGATATGTTTTATTTTGCAGGCATTTGGTAGCACCATAGTAATTAATCCAGAAAAAGACAAAACCATGGTCCAAGAACTACTTGATTTTAAAGACAAAGTTGACCATATTATTGATGTTTGCTTTCTCAAGAATGAGAAGTTTGTAAATGCCATGAAAGAAGCCTTTGAAACATTCATTAACAAAAGACCAAATAAGCCAGCTGAACTCATAGGTATTTTCAGTTTCTTCCCATGTGAGAATTTGCGGGGGGGGACAAGAGGGAGTTGCTGATGCAGCTTACAGATGGGATATGATGGAATTGTGTGTTAAAAGACATTATGCACAATGCATTGTCAAACTGGGGATCTACTGTGCCTTATTATGCAAGTGAATTATTTGATAGGATAGCATTAAACAATTAAGAACAAGCTCTATGCCCGTAACAAGGCTATAGAAAAGTGAAGAACATTAGAACTTGGGCATTCCACCAATTGACTGGTGTCCAGATGTGAAAATGCTGCTAATAATTTGACTTTTTCAGAAGCTTATGTAACTGTGTCACCAACACGTGCACAGAGCTATTAGGGGCTCTGCATAGATACCTATGTTTCAATATATAGAAGTGAAGAGAGATGAGGATGCACTGTACCTCTCATGTTACGGGGACAGAGCCTCTGTAGTTTGCAAAGAGCGTTGTTTACAGATTCGTGCATTACAGGGCTGGCTCTCTGCACTTTTGACTATCTTAATCATTTCCCCACACAGCGAATAATACCTGCTTTGCAATCTGTTGTGCTGTTAGGCTTGTGGAGTAATACTTTCTGCCCTCCTTTTTTTAAATTAATTCACTAACTGTAATGTGCTTACCAAACCATTTGAAATTAAAACAAACAGTAGTCTGCTAGAGAAATTCAGCAGTATAGTCAACACATTTAAATACTGGTTTACATATTTTTCTTCTGATCTTTTTGCTATTATAGCCATGTCAGTCTATAGCAATAGTGACTTTTTACTTTGAGATCATAATATGGACCATGATTTTTACATACGCAAAAATCAAGATGCAGTAATTGCTTTTCTGAAAAAAGAGATTAGGCTATAATGTTTTTGTAACTTTATAGCCTCTATGAAAATATATCAAGCTAGCTGTGATGAAACTGATTTGAAGGTAATTTCAGGATCCTTTACATTTCCAAAAGATTTCACAATATTAAATTTTAAAAAAAAAAATTAAATTATTGTTTCATGGTGATACTAAGCATATGCTAAACTTTTTATTCCTCAACACTCTTTTAGCTAAATACGTAGATTCAAAGCTTCGTGCAGGCAACAAAGAAGCTACTGATGAAGAACTTGAAAAAATGCTGGATAAAATTATGATCATATTTAGATTCATATATGGTAAGTATTGCTTCTTTTGTGGGGATACAGTTTTTTAATCAGTAACATAAAGGTACTTGAATTTTATTTTGCAGTCTGTCTGCATTTTCATTTCTGTCTGTTCATTCTCTGTAGATGCAGTTTGCTGGTGTAGTGCTGTTTAACTAGTTTGTGTGTTAAAATGCCCATAACAAGACCTGACGCAAAATCTGTGGAAATCTTAATGTTAAGGCCCTTGTTAGCTTTATTGCGCTTTGAATTGGGCCTCTTGCAGGTAAAGTTTGTTTAAAACAAACAATGATTTGTGATCACTGTCAAATCTCATCCCTTACAGGAAAAGATGTCTTTGAGGCCTTTTATAAAAAAGATCTAGCAAAGAGACTATTAGTTGGGAAGAGTGCATCAGTAGATGCTGAAAAATCTATGCTTTCCAAACTCAAACATGGTAAATATCTATCTATCTATCTATCAGCTTGCTTTCTTTTAAAAATGGTCGTTTTAACAGGCCTTCCCAGAAGTGCTGTTTGTATTTCCCTTTCACATGAGGGCAAAAACCTCGTGTGCAAGTCTTGAATGACTGGTGGGTTTTGAGGACACTCGTTTGCTTTTAGTTTTGTAATTACAGCAGCAATAGCCAAAAAACAGGAGCTTAAAATGCACAGTGTATCTTGGCCTGTGGGATAGAGTTGAGGTTCCCAGCTGAATAAATCGGCGATGTGCTCAGAGAACTTGAGGATGACTTCTGCTTGTTCATCACTCTATAAGGTCTGAAACATGAAGCTGCCAGCTAGCAGTCTTCTAGTTTGGTCTTCATTGTTTCATAGGATGGAGTCTTTGAGTGGTAAGATTTTTAGAATTTGATCTTGTTCTACCATCAAGAGACAGTTTAGCAGGCAGCTGATAGGGATTAGAATTGTCATCTGAGTGACAGGTTGCCAGTGGAGTCCTAGGATGTTGTTGTCTGAGTGACAGGTTGCCAGTGGAGTCCTAGGATGTTGTCGTCTGAGTGACAGGTTGCCAGTGGAGTCCTAGGATGTTGTCGTCTGAGTGACAGGTTGCCAGTGGAGTCCTAGAATGAACAGTCATGTCCAGATGGAAAAACAATTGGGTTGCAAAGTAGCTGTCATATTAAAACATCTTCCCCCTTCTTGTTTATAATCTTATTCTGTATCTTAATTAGAATCCAGGTCTTTATGTAAGAACGTATGCTGCAATAGGTCGTCTTGCTTGAAAGTACGTTCTGATATTTAGAATAACTACTCTATGGTGTTGAAAATAACAAGATTAATTTTTAAGATTTAAATTTTCTCTTTTATAGAATGTGGAGCTGCTTTCACCAGCAAACTAGAAGGAATGTTTAAAGATATGGAGCTTTCAAAAGACATAATGATACAATTTAAACAGGTACTGTGGGAAAGCCTGCCGTGGCTCCTTCATTTATTCTCAGAAAGCCTAACGAGAGGGTACAGGATGTCTTCAGTTGTGAACATTTCTATTGTAATTGAGTTAAACTCCTTTTGAATTATTCCAGTTGTCTGTAATGTTCTTTCACTACAGAGAAAAGAACTTTGTAGGTGATTGCTTTCAAAAGGAGTGGGCGAAAGCCCAGCTGGGAAAACAGTCTCTACTGAAAATCAGTCGGAATCTATTTCTGAATTCTGTGCTGTCTGTGCTTTTGAAAATTTTACTGAATTTATTAATGGTTTTCCTGAACCACAAAGCAAAAAACCTGAAAAAAGATCCTTCTTTAAAAAAAAAAAAAAAAAAAACAAAAAACAAAAACCACACACACAAAAACAACAACAATTAAAAAAAAAAACATAAGACACCCACAGTAATAAAAGAAGAATCGCAAACTTATAAAACATTTTAACACCAGTTAAAACATTTTTAACATGACTATATTCTGATGGACCAGCTTGTAAGTTTTTGCCCATTAGTTCTGGTGGTCTGTAATGTTTTGAGAAAATAAGAAAATTTTAACATTCTTTCCTCCACTCACACATAATTAGGTACATCTTCACATCAGCCTGATTAAAACACTACTTTTGCTGTTTTCTTCCTGTATGGAAGTGCCTTTAGAACTTCAGAAAAGTGCTTTTTCTTATCCTAATTTTTTTGTATGTAACTTGCAGTTTATATAGCAAAGACATTATAAGGTCACTTGTCTTCTGTGCTCTCATAATGCCTGTTCTAACTAACTTTCCAGTTCTACCTGAAGTATGTTTAAGAAATACTGCTTTATTTCATTTTACTTTGTTTCTTTCTGCAGTATATGCAAAATCAGAATGTACCTGGCAACATTGAACTAACAGTGAATATTCTGACTATGGGTTATTGGCCAACTTACGTGCCTATGGAGGTCCATTTGCCCCCAGAGGTAATGAATATAGACGTATTATACCAAGTGTCAGCCTATCAGTAATGCATCTTAGTATCAACTGCAACTTGGTTTTAAATATGCATATAATCTCTAGAAAGAAATGCAGAAGTATCTTTTTTAAATAAAGTTTCTTTTCTTTTCTTGCAATTCGCTTCATCTTTCTAAGCCTTTATTTAAGGCTTATTTGATGGTGAAAGAGGAAAGGATGCTTTTGAAGTAGAAATTGTGTTTTAGTATTTTGGGTTTCTTCTTTTCTTAGATGGTAAAACTGCAGGAGATTTTCAAGACCTTTTATTTAGGAAAACACAGTGGTAGGAAACTTCAGTGGCAGTCAACACTAGGACACTGTGTACTAAAAGCAGAATTTAAAGAGGTGAGTGTATTGTTTCTCTTATTCCTGTTGTTTTGCTGATTCCAAGTCTGGGTTGTACCTTAGGGATATATTGGGAAGCTTTTTTGTGCTGTGATGGAAAACTTAGCACTGTTTTTGCAATTACTTTTAACTTTTGACCTCTTGCTATGATTTCCAGAGTTGGTAGTTTCTGAAATAGATGTATTAAGGTCTAAGAAGATGCATCTGACTTCTGTATTGGTGGGGGAAAAAAAAGTTGTTGGTTACTGCTTGGGCAAAATATAAGTGGGTTTAGTTCCATATTTAAAATGGCACTAATCTTTATACTGGGGAGGAAAAAAAAAAAGGGGCCATGTTCCATAGATGACCTTACTTCATCTGACAGCATTAAGCATCTTTACAGTAAGCTTTTCACTACTGAAATAAAGGTAAGTTTTGGATTGTACAAGAACACAGCTGTGTTTTTAAATGGCTTCCAGTTATTCCCCTTCAGTATTTCTTCATGGGCACCAATATATTTCAAGAAAATTTCTCTTGGAATAGGAATGCTTACCAGTTCTATTTTTCAGAAAAATGTTAATGATAAAACAAGTATTATCAAACTTGGTTATTTCAAAGATCCTATAGTTCCTAATACTGTGTTTCTTAAACTAATGTATGTGTTACACTTTGACTTAAAGGTCTTTCCAATTGTCATTTTAAGCACTCAGTGCTTTGAGATTTGTCTTGAGTAAGTTGATGCATATCTTGGGTGAGTTTTGTCACTGGATATAGTAGTCTAACCTTCTGACCTCTAGTTTATTCTGCATTTCATAGTAAACACAAGGTGACCAGTAACTTTTATTCTTTCATATTCCCAAATGAGTAAATTAACAATCACATCCTTTAAGTGAAATAATTGACATACAAGAATTACTTTTCCCCTCCTCCCCCACCTAAAAAAAAAAAAAAAACAAACAAACAAACAAAAAAACCCACCAAAAAAACCAGCCTAGTGATGTCTGTTAATTTCCCTTGTGACAGGGCAAAAAAGAACTTCAGGTCTCCTTGTTCCAGACACTGGTGCTGCTCATGTTTAACGAAGGAGAGGAGTTCAGTTTAGAGGAGATAAAGCAAGCCACTGGGATAGGTTGGTATTGAAAACAGCTGACTACTTCCAAGTGTTCTTACTAAGAAAAACTAAACAACTTGTTTCTGTTTTAGAGGATGGAGAGCTGAGAAGGACACTTCAATCTCTGGCTTGTGGCAAAGCCAGAGTACTGACTAAAAGCCCCAAAGGCAAAGATGTGGAAGATGGTGATAAATTCACATGTAATGATGATTTCAGACATAAGCTCTTCAGGATAAAGATCAACCAAATTCAGATGAAAGAAACGGTATATTCTTTTGAATCCTCTGGGGTTTAGATCCTTTGGTTAAGTATCTTGTTGCCTGCCCATTTACAAGTTTTTTTCCTCTTGGTTGTAACGTACATACTGCTATCTTTGTAAAAGTTACAGGTATAATTTGGATGATAGCACATACCTAACAACGCAGACTTAAATATGTGCTTCCATACTATCTTAGACTCCAGTGATGCTAGATGTCGCTAAATAAGGTTGTTTAAGAGAAGTTCCAATTACTGAATGTTCTTTTCACCCTTGATCATTCCCTGGAGCTTTACTGAATGGTTTGTGAACATAGAAACAAATTCACAGTGAATTTTTCCTGACAGCCATCCAGTGTAAAATCTGTGCAAAGATTTTAATTCCTTGTACAAGTGGTTTTTTATAATCGGTCTTCATATTTGTAAAGGATTTATGTCAAATAACTTGACAACAGACATCTTACTGTCTTACACTGAGAATTGTCTTAGAGATATGAAGAAGAATTGTTTTGACAGTTCTAGTGCTCTCTTTAAAACTTCTCTGAATTAATCCTTCAGGTAGAGGAACAGGCAAGCACTACAGAGAGAGTATTCCAGGACCGGCAATACCAGATTGACGCTGCAATTGTACGAATCATGAAGATGCGCAAGACACTGAGTCATAACCTGCTTGTGTCAGAGGTCTACAACCAGCTTAAATTCCCAGTAAAGGTATAGTACTGATTTTTCTTTTTTTAAAACTTTATTACTTATTTTTATATTCCCTGGCCTGTCCTCAGTTAAACAGTGCTTCTGTCTAAAACATGCATCTTTTTACTGTTAGGAAGGACAAATACTCACTTTCAGGAATTTTTAAAGTGCCAATTGCATTTTTATCTGAATATTACCTGAGGCTTTCAGAATCAGAGTCTGTTAGCAGTAACTGTGAAGCTAGCTCTCCTTGCACGCTGTTCTTCTTGCATTTAAGTGTTCTGGCAATGCGTTCCTGGGGACGAGGGGAAAATGATTCAGATATGTAATGCAGAATTGGTTTTGATTCTTAATTTGGTTGATGCTTTTTAATAAATTAGTAACCAATAAATGTACAGTGGTTTTTCCAGGTAGATTATATTAGTTAATATATATATACACACACACACATATATATATTGGTGAATGTCTCAAAGCTAAAGAAGCCCACAGTTGCAATATAAAATGAATAGCTTACTTATTGTGTACAAATAGAAATGGATTTTCAAATAGACAGTGATGCATCTGTTTGAGTTCAAATATACAGTGCTTTCTATCAATGGAAATGTAAAATAAAAGATCCTGCCATCTCATTCTGTTTTGTTACCATGTTAAGTTCCTGCAGGCCTGTAAGTATTGCATAAACTGCAGTTGAGCTTTGCAGGGTTGTAACAGATGAGGCAGATGAGTTAAATGCTTTTCCTCACTCTTTATCATAAGGCATTTTTTTACCCAGTAAAATCATAGGGCACCAAAACTGTTGCAGAACTCACTCGCATCATGATAAAATGAAACTTGTACCATCTTTTACCAGGTAAAAATCAGAAACATTTTGGTACGTAATGGGTGAATTGCAGTTCTTTAAAGTAGAGTTCAGTTTAAACAGCAGCAAATACCTTTCCCTGCTGTAAAAAGTCTATGCTTAGCTGCAGGTGACAAGCTAATTTTTTAACTTTCTCTTCAATCAATTATACATTGCAGACTTTAGAAGCTTTGATGGTTTAAGGGAGTTTTTTTTTCTTTAAACTGTGATTTCTGTTTCCTCGGCCATCTTAAACAGTATGGATATTTGCCTTAAGTAGAAAGAACGAACCAAGGAACATTGACTGCAAAGTAATAATGCTGACATCTGCTTTATTTTACAGCCTGCTGACCTTAAGAAGAGAATAGAATCCTTAATTGACAGGGACTACATGGAAAGAGATAAAGAAAACCCAAATCAGTACAACTATATTGCATAAACATATGTTGGCCTTTGTTTTACTGCACACTTGGTGTCATACACAGTTGCCAGTGGATAAACTAGCCTGTTGATCCTGTTAATTGACTTTTTATACTACCGATGATTGAATGAAAGCAGTGTAATGGAAAAGTATAGTAGAGTGGACTTCTTTCAGTGGTTAACATGCCCATTTAAAGAGTACTATTTACATTTTAAGAAGAATGCTGTTGAACTCTTTGCATGTTATTTAGTAAGATGTGCAGAAAGCTGAAAGAAAGTACCTGGTCTTTGTGATTCCATTTGTCTCTGGGTCTGAAGAGGAGTCCCTTGATATATGACAGATGTCTTTCACACCTTTAAATGGAAACAGAAGGTTAATTAATATAAGAAAATAGCCTTTAAAATGCTTAAACTGCATGCAAACTTTTAATTTACTGTACAGAATGCATTTCAGTTAGTAACATACCATTGGTTTGGTTGATGCCCACACTTGGATTCCTTTTCCCTTGAGGGAGGGAAAATGGGGAATAAGCCAAGCTATGCTTATTGCTGATCTCATGGAAAATATTCTTGGTCGTAATTAAGACAAAATGGTACCAATATAAAACAATGTATAAAGTTTGCAGTGTGGGCATATATACTGTATATACAAACACCATTCTTAAATAACTGCTACAACAAAACAAGTTCAGATTAGATTTATATGGCTTGCCTATAAGACTTAGTGTTCACCTTTGGGAATTTTAAGCATAAAACAGCCATAATGGAAAAAGTGACAGTTTTTACTAGTCATGGGTAGGAGGCCTTCACCTCTTGGCAGCAATACTCTAGAAAAGAGAATCTATTTACAGATATCTATGAAAAGCCACACTGTTCTTGTGGTAAAGCTGTAAGAACAAAAATTACAAATGGATTTTAATACTTGTTTTGCTTTGCAACATTCTAAACTTGAACTAACCTCAAGGTTTAGACAGGGCAGCTCTTCTAAGACTGCCCTGCTTTGGATTGCTTTAACTTAAAGCTTTAAGAACTCAGCCCTAGATGTGGCAGGCCTCCTAGAACCCAGAAGCCTACCTCTCATATAGAAAGTTAAGTATTGCTACAAGGCATCTAAAATATATTTTCTTAGATGACCAGAGAGCATTCTTTGCATCTTTATAAGACATGGGAGAATAAGTCACTTGAATGTAGAGCTTTGTTTCAACAAAATGCATTTTTTTATTGCTATAGCAGCATGTGCCAGGAATATATGGAAAAAAAGTGTCAGCAGAAAAGGTAACTCCTCCACATGACAGTTCTTCCTTACCCAGCCAGGCTTTAGACCTATGATCAGCTGTGTTGCAGAGCACAATGAAAAACCTCATCCTCTTTCAGGCACTGATAGTCCTGGGGAATACCAGACATTTCTTGAAAGCAAGATGTTACTTTTGTTTAATGGCAGTGTAACTTAGCTCTCTATGATCTATAACTTTTATCACTGTGATCCCACATTCAGGGGTGTGCCTGTGCGAGAGAGGGAGAGTGTGTGTCTGTGTGTGTATTTTGTATCTGACACATCCCATCCTTACTGCTTTTTTGATCTACTGTTTAATTCCATATTTTCTCCAGCTGTGTTTTCTCTCAAGCTCTTTTATATGCAGTCCTCAGCTGACAGATGAAGCAGATGGTTTTTTCTCCTACTAAATTATTTGCTGTCACCCTCTACTAACTGTCATACAGCTCTCTGATCTGCAGAAAATCTACCTTATCCTTTGACACTATTGCAGCATAACCACTGGTAAACATCCAGGACCACCCTTGCCTCTGTAAGAAAAATACTAACAGTAGAGTTATCTGATAAGAAACTTGAAGACTGCTCCTGCAAATCTTTTAAGTATTAGTTCAAATAGAGATCCACTGGGGAGGAAAGAATGCCCCCCTAAAAAACATTCTGTATTTTGCATTGAATGTTCCTTTTTCTTGTATGTGTTTTGTATCTTTAGCCAATAAAAGATTCCTTTTAAAAAGGTGTTTTGGAGAAGGAGCATAAAACTTAACTCTTTGGGAGACAGGAGATGATGAATATCAGTATTGAACTGGTTCCATTCGGTCTGTTGTAGCATATAAATCTAACACCACTACATGTTTAAAATACCTATTCTGGTAAAATCCTCCCTCATTAGACAAGTGTGTTGCATTCCGTCAAACTAACCAGAAAAGTCTGAAGGTTTATTTAATTTTTATCCCATCCATTTCAGTAACTTAAATGCATAAAATATTATGTAGAAAATGTCCTCAAATCTCATCAGACTTCCACGATCTGAGGCAGACCCTAAGAGGCAATCTAGTTAAAGCAACCCAAAGAATGGACTTTGAGAACCCTGGCTAGGCTGAGAGAGGGGGCGAGAGAGGGGCGGGGAGGCGGCTTCTCCTTCTTGTACCTTCATGGGTTTTCCCCAAGAACTTGTTCATCTCTTCTGCTAAGGTCTCGCTCATTCCTGGTTAATGACAAAGCTGCAGCCAAGATTTATCGTCCAGCCGTACAACTCTGCAACTTCTTGCTGGGATCATGTGCCTGCCTATTGAGCCATATATATCTCTGTAAGAAAAAAATGAAAGTGGGCTTGGACCACAACTCATCTGGCTATAACACAGCTTGTCTGTTTGGCCACACATTTTTAATCTTGACTCTTGCATGCAGTTTATAGCACCTTGTTCATAAGAAATTGCAGTTTATTCTTAGAAATATATATTTTAGGTTTTTTAATCTTTATACCCATAAATGGACTATTTTTTTGTCTTGGCTGGTTTAAAAAGTGACCATTTTGTTTAAATGCTGTAATTGCAAATGTGTTGTAAACGTTGTTTTGTTCTATAGTTTACACAAAGGTGCCAAAGTAAAATAGTTAATAAAAAAAAACAAACCCTAGCAAATTGTTAAGTTGCTTTAGCTGTTCTTCATATTTTGGTCTCTGCTTTTTTTTTCTGTCAGTCTTTCATTTTTTCCTAGACATATCATTTGCCCTAATGCTTTCTTTAAAAAAAAAAGTGCATCTAAAGAAATGTTCAAATACCACTTTTTTTAGTGATTTCATATAGTAGGAAGAATATTTTCTTTGAAACGTTACACTAAAATTGTAAGAGTACAGCAGCATTCAAAAATGTAATATACTTTTTGTATAACAGTTCTTCAGAGTATGTCTGGAGTGGGGGAAAAAACTAACCCTGTTACTTTTCAGAAGCCTCTTCACTCGGCTACCAGAATATAAAATTGTGCTTTTTCACTGCATCAAAAAGTTATAGTTTATGCAGACTTGCAAACAGGGCATGTATCACCGTTGCATCCTTCGATGCAAAAAGCAGCAAAACCTTTTTTATGTTTCATAAGTCTGATATGGGTACAGAGAGTCTTTCTTAAGTTGGTAAATAATGTAAATACATGTCCTTTCAGAGAGTGAGTCTGTTATCTAGGTATTTTGTGTCATTTAATAAATATTAAACAGTTTTGTGTTGATAAACTCTTGTGTGTAAAATGCCTTCTTACTCAAAGTTCTGTATGTTGGGCTTACTGATGTTTGTGGCTTCTTTAAATTCTTTAGCTTGTGCTTTGATAGCAAAATACCTGTTTGCTACTTAAATATAATAAGTAGTTCCTTCTTCATTCAGTCATTAAAATCCCTTGAGTTTTCTAAGTGGCTTCCATTCCTGAATTTTTTTTTTTTTTTTTTACTAAGTCTCCTACAAGGTTATTGGAGGGGAAGGAAATAAGCATCCTCGCAAACTCTGAATTGGGATTAGAATGTGTAGAAATGCCAGAAAGGGTACAAAAATACCAAAGGTGGTGGCTTGTTGCTAGTAGAGGAGGCTACTCTCCTGCTGTACAATTATTCCCTGTCTCCCAGTACAGTTAATTTTTTTAATGACTCTGGTACAATTATTGAAGTACAAAGGACAGGGCTGGACAGGGAACTTGCTTCTGTTATTGATGATGGCCAACTGGGCCATTCCTTAATTTTTCTTCAGCCATTTGGAACCACTGGACTAAATCTGAGCAGAATTTGTCAGGAGTATCTTCAGCCCGGCCTTTCCCGGTGCAGGTGCTCTGAGGACTTAGTGCAGAGGGGAGGTGGAGTGTTTTAATTTTACTTTCTGAGCTCTGGAGGGGTGGTTTGGAAACACTGATAGCTGTAGCAAAGCAAGTGCTGATCCTCCAAACTGAGCTCTGTTGGAGGCTTGCATGCACTGCAGGGAGGCTGACCTCGCACAGCAGAAAATGTTCCTAGTGCATGGTGGTTTTAAGTAAGTGTGGTAAATGGCTTCCACTAATCTGCTCAGGTGCCTGCTTTCTCTGTTACAGCTTGGAGGCATCTAAATGCATGGGATGGCTTTTCCACTAACAATTTCCCCTTAAAGAGAATGTTTCCTACGTCCTCCACAATCCTACAGAATTTTGTTGTTAAATAAAACAGAAGCAGATGGATATTTGGAGATTGATAGATTTTCTATCTACTCTGGGAAAAATACCAGAGAGCAGTAAATACTTTTCATTTCTGTTACTGTATGAAGTGCAATATATGTAACTGTACTTTCTCCTGATTTTGAGAGAAACTGGTGCCAAATCAAATTTAAGATGGTAGCTTGGATTCCCCACCACCACCCCCCCTTAAGGAGGCAAGCGCTTGTGGACATACTGTGGTATTTAGAAAATGAACACCTCAAAACTTACTTGAGGGGTTGAGAGACATTGGGCTTTGTGCAGAGGATACCTTGTAAAATATGGAGTTAACTGGGACGAGGAGCAATGGATGTTGACCAACCTACAGTGGAGCAGGCTTTTGTTCTTGTTAAGTAACTGCTTCCTGACACAAGGTCATCTTTAAAATTACTGTTATAACTTGTCTTGCAGCTGCTTATGGGAAATAAGCATTAGGCTATAAAGGAAAGAAGAAAAGTAATTTTGAAAGTTAATTGTCTAAAATCAGTAAGACATTGCAGCACCGTAGATAAACCCCTTTTCTTAAACGTAGGAAAAGTAGTTCACATCAAGCAAATACTAAATTTTTATTGATTGTTACGGATGTACACACGCCAGCCACTGTAACAGGGGCCGACCCCAGGATCCCGCTGAGAACACCAAGTCTGAGTGAAGGTTTCCAATCAGTCTTTTATTAGTTCTTTGATAACAGCTCGAGCTGGGTGCCTCCGGAGAGGGACCCCTACCCCAATTCACGCCTCTCAATTACACCTGTACCACCCATCGCCCGAGCCCCAAGTCCAACCCCAAGTCCAATCACTTAATTCTGGTCGGTGGTCTCTTGATTTCTTACCGGTTTTCACTGTTGCTGGGGG